CAGTGGCCCCACAAATCCCTTCAACTGGCAGTACAGCAAGAACCTGGGAGCTGCCTGGACTCCCTCCTCTCTCTGTGCGAAGCCAGATTAAATTGCTGGATTAAGCACTCCCGCAGCTCAGCATCTGGATCTTTGTGACAGCTGTGCCCAGAGAAGAAGTCAAGCATTGGTGCCATAACTGCGTCAACTGATGTGTCATGGGTCACATCATTACAGCTGGAAAAGGTCTGTTAGGTCACTCACTCCTGTTTCTTAGCCAGCACAGGATTTGACTCAAAGTGTTTGCTACTGCTCCAGACGTGTCATTTTAAGAGACTTGGGCAATGCAATCCTCTTCCCCTTTTCTTGGGAATTTACTCATCACATCACCTGTTAAAACTTACTACTGAGAAGCATCTAGCCTAACATTCCCATGTTTTAATATGACCCCATTAATGACTCTGCTTGTCTTTCCTTTTTACCAAAGCCTCCTCTTTTGCTGAGCTGTTGTTCCTTCCTCTGTGCAGGTACAATAGCCTGGTTAGTTCCTCTGGGCTGGGTTGGCTTTTGAGGGGAGGACACTCCACACTAGGGCTGTCATCCCTGAGGGCCCTCAAAAGCCTGGGATCCCTCGTCTGCCAAAAAGCCTCATCCACTGCCTTTAATTATCTCCACTGAAAGGTACCCTACCCCCCAACCCCAGAGATATTTCCATTAAAGCAAATAGTTTCAGACTCTTCATTTTTTTCTCTTGTGTGCCTACATTTGGTATTCTTTTCTGATTTTCATCCATTCTCTAAAACTTAGATGGTGGTGCATCACCATGCACCTACATGCAGCTGCGTGCTGTGTAATGTCAGTTGGGTTATTTTTCTTCACCAGTCTGTTCTTGTTGCCAAACCCATGTCGCTTCTGTGAGTAGGGATTTGTCCTGAGGATATGCCTGTTTGCCTTCATCAAGCCTGGGCTAACCTATGGGGAACACCATGCCAGTGTCACTAGGTACCTGCTGCTCACCAGGTCCAGTCTGCTTTGTGTTACCACCTTGTCTTTGTTGTTGTTCTTCATTTTCCTCTAGGCAATGGGATTCCTGAGCATCAGTGCTTTGCTGCCTTTTTTTTTTTTTTTGTCAATTAATGGACAACAAGGTTCAGCATCACTGAGCTATTGCAGTGCATGTCACCTTTTGGTGCCTTGGCAACACATTATCAAATTTGCCTCCTTTTGATGTAGGTTTCACAAATCATTGGCAAGATCAGCTTCATGCTTGTGTGGCTAATTTAGGGAGCAGCTTTTGCTAAAAGTATTATGGACATTTCATTATAACTCACCTTTCTTTTCCTTCAGCTCATCAGTTCTTAGCCATTACTGAGTACGAGTGTTTTCATCCAATACCTGTTTTCCTTTCACATGGTCACTAGGCATTTCTTTTGGTTTCTACTGTAAAAAAGGAAACAGAGATTAATCTGTTAACTTGCAAAAGTGGTCTTCCACTGTTTTACTCGATCTGTTCTGATGACACTGATTAAAGTCATATAAAATAATTGAATCATTCTATTTGGAAGAACCTTCAAGGTCATCAATTCCAACCATTAACCCAGCACTGCCAGGTCACCACTAATCCGTGTCCCTAAGCACCACTTCTACAAGTCTTTTAAATACCTCCAGGTATGATGATTCCAGCACTTCCTTGGGCAGCCTGTTCCAGTGCTTGACAACCTTTTCAGTGAAGAGATTTTTGTTGTATCCAACCTAAATCTCCCCTGGCACAACTTGAGGCAGTTTCCTTTTGTCCTGCTTTTTGCTACATGGGAGAACAGATGGAGCCCTACCTTGTTACAGCCTGCTTTCAGGTAGTTGTAGGGGGTAATAAGGTCTCCCCTGAGCCTCTTTTTTTCCAGGCTAAACAACCCCAGTTCCCTCAGCTGCTCCTCATCAGACTTGTCCTGTAGACCCTTCACCAGCTTTGTTGGCCTTCTTTGGATACGCTCCAGCACCTCACTGTCCTTCTTGTAGTGAGGGTCCCAAAACTGAACACAGTATTTGAGGTATGGCCTCACCAGTGCTGAGTACAGGGGGATGATCACTGCCGTAGTCCTGCTAGCCACACTACTTGTGATAGAAGCCAGGATACCATTGGCTTTCTTGGCCTCCTGGGCACACTGCTGGCTCATATTCAGCCAGCTGTTGGCCAGCATCCCCAGGTCCTTTACTGCACTGGGCAGCGTTCCAGGCACTCTTCCCCAAGCCTGTAGTATTGCCTGGGGTTCTTGTGACACAAATGCAGGACCCAGCACTTGGCCTTGTTGAACCTCATAGGCTTTGGCCCATCGATCCAGCCAGTCTCTATCCCTCTGTAGAGCCTTCCTACCTTCAGGCAGATCAACACACCTGCCTAACTTGCTGTCATTCCCAAACTTGCTGAGGGTGCCCCCAATCTCCCTTTCCAGATTATTAATGAAGACATTAAAGAGAACAGGGCCCAATACTGATCGCTGGGGAACACCACAACTCTTTGAGCCCGTCCGTCCAGACAGTTCTTCACCAAGCAAAGACTATGCTCATCCATGCCAAGAGCAGCAATGTTCTCCAAGAGAAGGCTGTGGGAAACATTGTCAAAGGCCTTATTAAAGTCTAGGTAGACAACACCCATAGCCTTTCCCTCATCCACTAAGTGGATGACCTTGTCATAGAAAGAAATCTGGTTATTGAAGCAGGACCTGCCTTTCGTAAATCCATGCTAACTAGGCCTGATCACCTGGTTGTCTTGTATGTGCCTCGTGATGACATTCATATGCTGTGGCATCTGAAAGAAATTTCCTCGCTCATGTGACAAAGCTGGGCTTTTGTCACAAGTGAAGAGAGAGTGTTTCACTTATTTCTGTTTGCTTTTCTAAGCACAGTTCTCTCATTCTCACTGTCTTGGCTATGACCTCAAAAATGTATTGATTGAAATCAGGATTCTGTGCACTAATACCCAATTCACTAATAACCAATTGGCAACTAGGATTGCAGAAGAACGTGCATCTTCAAAAGAACCTGTCTCTTTAGGCTTCCAAAAGAAAAAAAAAAACCAAAAAAAAAAAACCCTACTACGAATAAAACTTCACTATTGGCTTTGGAATTTGAGCAGCTATTTTTATAAAAACTAACTTTTATGATAAGCATGCTGTGTTAGGTAAAGGATTTGAAGGAACTCTCTTTTAGTAGTTTGTCTGACCTTTTTTGAACTGTACTGCTTTAAGATCACATAATCACAGAATGACTATGGTTGGAAAGGACCTTTAAGATCATCGAGTCCGACCATTATCTAACTCTACCAGGCGACTTCTACTCCATATCCCTGGGCACTGCATCTAGGCTTTGAATACACCCAGGGATCTGTATCTTTAAAAATGAAAGGAAAAATAAAAAGACTTGAAATAAGACCAAAGCAGAAGTGAGTGTCCTCCTTTTTTCAGCTCCAACACCTAAGCACCCAAACTGGTGCCGAAAAATATACTTGTGTATGTTCTCCTATATATTCTTTACTTCAAAATCAATTCATCAAATGAATGACAAGCCTGTATCCATGAGTCTATAGCTTTATCTAGCTGAGCCCTTATGTCAAGGCCTTTCAGCACAAGTATTTCCACTGACTGCTGTGCTGAGCACATGTATAAATACTTTGCTGAATCAGAGCCATAGCTAGAGAGTGGCATTTAATACCAGCCTGCCATTAGACTGCAGGGATTAAAAATAAATAGAATTAGTTCTTTGTGTCTCTGATCAGAAAGGGAATCTAAAGCAGAGTGTGTCCTAGATCTTTAATATTCTCAATGGGATCATTTCAGTGTTCTTATGTCTTGTACATCTGAGAATAACCTCTGGGACATAAGATGCGACTGGGCATTGCTAACATGTGGTGCTGCAGCATGGCCCCTCTCTTGTCACTCAGCATGTCCCATGCATCTCTTTGGAGCTTCTGATTATGTCTTTAGAACTGGCCAAAATTACAAACGTGGCAGAAAAAAATAGGGAAATCAAGTCCTCATTTCCTCCCTCCTGAAGGTCCTTCTGGTGTTTCTCCACCTTTCCTGTGCTCCCTCCCCTTCCCCTTCCTTGGCACAGGGAGAGAGTTCACTATGTCTGTGTCCTTTGAGCAGGGCTTGCTGTGTTGTGCTGAGCAACCAAGGGCTGTTTGCAGGGCTGCACCCTGAATTATTCTGCTGCTGCAGGTCAGCCTTTGGGAATCAGCAGAGTTACCTCCGCTGTAGTGGATAACTTGCTGCTGAATGCATCCTAAGGCATCTTTCTCCTCCTCCTGCACCCTGTGCATGGCAACAGAGGTGGAGGATTTCCCCCTCCCTTCGAGCCACAGGTGGTTCCCAGGGTGCAGAGATTGAGGAGTGTCCACCTTGAAACCACCAGCACCAGCACAGACTCATCAGTGGAGACGGGGAGTGCTCAGTGTTATTTTTAAGCAGTGAGATATCTTAGTCTGCTTTTCTGCAGACTGCCTAAGCTGGGCACAGAGGGTGGCTGCAAAAGTTTGAGAGCAGCTGTTGTTGCCTCTGGCTACTGCTGGCAGGCACCTTGAAGAGCAAGGTGAGATACCACACCAGTGCCCACCACAACTCCTGCATGACTGGAGAAGTTCAGGCCGTGGTGTGGCCGCAGGGTGAGCTGCAGGCTGCCTGGCCTCTGCATGCCTCAGACGCACGCATGGCTCCGACGCTGGGGCTTGGGGTGTGTGCATATTCCTGCCTGCTGGCAAGGTCTGCGGCCCCTTTCCTCAGCCACGTCTCTCCCTTACAAGCCATGAAACATTGCTTTGACTCTTTACCTGGAGGATGGGGTCCAGGAGACAGACATGCTGTACGCTCTGCAGTGCTGGCGGCCTCTGTGCATCCCTTACCTCTGTCTCTGGGTGCCACCGTTTAGGCAACATAGATTGATGAGCTGAAGCCAACAGACCTCAGCACAAAGCACCCTGCAAGCCCACGGCCTGAAACCCAGGATGGCATCATTAGCATGAGGCCATGGTCCTCAGCCTGTCTGGCTGCTTAGGTCTGTGCACCCAGTTTGGCTCTGTCATAGCAAGGCGCCGATGGGCTGTGCCCCTCGAGGAACCCACCTGTCGTGTAAGTGCCTCTGCGTATGTCTGTGTGTTTGCATTTGCCATCCTGACTCCCACCAAGTTTTCCATTCGGAATTCGGCTTACAAGGGACTCCCTTGCTGTGTTTCAGCATGATCAGAGATACCAGTGAAGAAGGAAAAGAAGCGCATCTGTGTCAGGCCACCGCCCTGCGGAACTGCCTCCCACTTCCAGGGATCAGCATCCTCGATAAACTCATCAAGACCTGTCCTGTCTGGCTTCAGCTGAACATGAACCGGGAAAGGGCTGGGACTATTCTTGGCAAAGAAACGGCAGGGGTAAGTACAAGGTGGCTTCAGCTCAGACAGCCACATTTCCTGTCCTTGGTGGAGCTGGTTAGGAGAGCAGAGCTTTTTTTTCCTGTGGAAACAAAAATATTTAGCAGACTATGCTCTCCGTTTCCATTACCTTTTGATGCTTTAGCCACTCATAGCAGCACAAGACAGATAAAATGGAGCTGGGGAAGCAAGAAACCTTGTCTTTGGCTTTATTTACTTAGCATGTAGGTTCATGGAAGTGACTTCCTATGCACTTCCATACCCATAGGTATGGTGACTATCCTAATTTGGAGCAACAACAACAACAAAATCCCTGAAGAAAAGGCCCTTAAATTCTGGGAGCTGCTGGGAGTCATTTTTATGGCAGTAATTGGTGCCTGGTCCCCATAAGTTGAGTGTTAGAAAATGTTAGACTTGCAGACTCAGTGCTTGCTCAGGGAAAACATCTCTGCAGGAAAGAGGCTTCTCCATTCCCAGGGTCTCAGGGGTGAGGCATGGCAGGCAGCAGGCTTCCTGGTCAGGACTGGGGAGGAACACCTGAGCTGATGGCAGAGTACAAGGGGAATTCAGTCACTCCTGCTCTGAGGAGGTTTGGACCTGTCCCTTGGCTGAATCAGTTTATCCCAGGGCTAAAAGCTGGCACAGCCAAGTGACAGCCTCCAGTGTGACTCAGCTGACTGACTGGATGGCACAGTGCACCTCACCCTGAACCAGACTTCTCAGATAAGCTGGGCAAACTATTCTCTTTGGTTAGGTACAGCTCAGCAGACCCACCTCCCTCTCATCTGAACAGCCATGGTCCAATTTTAGCCTTTGAAGCCATGGAAACCAGTTGTGTCGATCAGGAAAATAGAAGTGATTCATTTCCCGGTTTCACGTTTCTCAGCACTTAAATTTAGTTTCAGATGAAGCACTTGATGGATGCACAGAGAGGTTGTGTGGTCTGAGATCCAGGGTCACAGTATTCTCTCAAGGTGGGATAGAGGGACCATGCTGTCACGTGATGGTAGGACCCAGGGAAGGGAGAGCCTCTGTGGCTTTTTCCTACCTGCAGATTACTTCCTGTGTTGCAGAAGGTGGGTGCTGCCCTGCGTTAGAGATAGGCCTGTTTCTGGCATCCACCTGTTTGCCATGCATTTATTTGGATTTTCTCTGCACTGCTTGTGGACATGAGTCCATGGGGCTCAATTTCTTATGAATGACAGAGGCCAGGATGGTGGCACTGTGTGAGGTTCCAAAGCCACACATTTAAAATAGGTGCTGCAAAGTGACAGGAGACGCTCTCACGACTGGGACTCATGCAGAGAAAGGTCTTGGTTTCTGGCTTCTAGACAAGCTCTATTTAATTAATATGTCCAACAAATTAACGTTTTCTTGATAGATTTCCACTGCATTAGAGTTGATTAATCATGTTATTAACTCACACTTCTTCTTTATAATATCAATGTACAGACTCTGGAATTAGCCCAATTTTTATGTTCAGATTTTATAAAAATATCTTGACTCTGTCCTGCAAAAACCTGCTATCAAAGAACAGGGAAAGGTGAAGATTACTTTGTCATTTTATCTGCAGCTTCAAGGTACAAACTAAAAATATCCTTGACAATGAGCTTTAATTAGAAACACCTAGGAGCTCACACAATGCGAAGAATGAGATATTTTTCTTTTCTCTTTTTATTTTTTTTTCTTTTTTGTCATCTTTCCTCTTTGTTTCTTTTTTCTTTGTATTTTTTTCTTTCCTCTTTCTTGTTTCCCCTTTCCTCTTACATCTTTTTTCTTTTTTCTTTTTTTTTTAATTTCACTGGTCCCATTGATGGGAACCAATGGCCACAGTTCTTCCACTGGTTCTAATTGAACACTCAGGGGGTCTCTTATAAATGTATATGAAAACCTGATGGGAAAGAGCAGAGAAAATTGAGCCAGACTATTCTCAGTGGCATCCAGTGAAAGGATGAGGTACAGTGGGCATTAACTGAAACATAGGATATTCAATTCAAACATTAAGAACAGCTTATTTACTGGGTGATTAACATTGGAACAAGAGGCTATCGAGCCTCCATCCTTGGAGATAATAAAAACCTGACAAGACATCATCCTGAGTAATTTGCTGTAGTCTATCTGTCTTTGAGCATGGGGGTTGGACTACATGATCTCCAGAGTCCCTTCCACCCATATCTGCTCTGTGATTTTGGGACCAGTCAGAACACTTTAAGTCTGTGCTGCCATCCAGAGGGATCTTGGACAAGCTAGGGGGACAGGGCTGGCAGGAACTTTCTGAAATTCAACAAGGGCACAGGCAGAGCACTGCCTCTGGGAAGGCAGACCCCCCGCATCGATCCGGAGTGGCACTGCCTGGCTGAGCAGCTCTGCAGGAATGGCTGGGCTGGGGCAGTGGGCAGCAAGCTGGGCACAGACCCTCTAAGGGAGAGGCTGTGGGACCAGGGTTTGTTCAACCAGGAGCAGAGGCAGCTTCAGGGGCACCACAGAGTAGCTCTCTGGTACCTACAGGGAGGTCATGGAGAAGATGGAGCCAGCACTGCTCCGGCTCTGCTCAGCACTGCATGGTGGGAGGACGAGAGCTGACAGGCGTACACTGAAACCAGAGGGGTTCAGACTGGGTACAGGGGTACACTTCCTCCCTGTGCGGGCAATAAGTGGTGGGTCAGATCTGTCCAGGGAGGTTGTGCAGTCTCCACCCTTGGAAGTTCTCCAGACCTGTCCAGACAAAGCCTTGAGCAAACTGTTCTGGCCTCATGGCTTCATCCAGGGGGTTGGAACTCCTGAGGTCCCTTGACTTGGGCAACTGTTCCTTGGGCAGCTTGAATGACCTTCTGGTCCCATGATAAGAACTCTACAATGAGACACGGCGGCTACCAGAGCCTTTGGCCTTACATTCCACTGCTGAACACCCTTTCCCTCTCAACATAAAAGTAACTCACTTGCTTTAAACACAGACCGGGACATTCTAGAGTGAAATTTCCATGGTTTAGGGCACTTAAGTGAGGAGCATCACCTGACAAATTGAGTGCAGCTTTATACTCTTCAGTTAGTGAAATATTTTCCCTTAGGCTTATATGGGACATCAGTGACAGACAGAAATTTTGCTGGTTCCTTCACAGACATGAATTTCAGCCACATTAAATGGCCTTTTATTCGTTATTTTTGTTGTGTAAAGTTCAACCAAGTGGAACAAAGATAAAATAAAATCATTTAAGGGTGGATTGTACTGATAACTTCCTTGCCAATTACCTAGAAGAAAATCTGGAAGCTCACATAACATAGCTAAGCTCTTGATTCCTTTCTCCTTTTTCAGATATTCTTGGTTAGGAAGGAGGGTAGTGTGAACAACATGGTCCTTGCAGTTCGCCTGCCAGTGCAGGAAGAGGCTCCTGGTGTGCTGGAGTACAACATTAAAGAAGAAAAATCAAGTAGGTTCTTTACACTTTTTGGTCTGGGTCTGATTATTGTACTGGGTCCTCTTCTGATCACCAGTATTTATGTAAACTCACTTGCAATGAGCATGTTCCTCTTGTGACCAGCAGCAGATCTTGCTTTTGCCAGGTAGTTCAGTCAGTATTTCCTGCAGCTGCTTTATCTCAGCTCCCCTGTGGTTCTGCACCTTGTGTTATTTACAGACTCATAACAGGAAAATAAGCACCCCCAGATGAGCAGGCCTGCCCTTTGATCAAATGAGAGGAGTTGCCTCTCACCAGGTAGAAGTCCTGAGCAAAGCACAAGGCACTGACATACTAAGCCTTGTTAACTCACTGACTCTGTTTCTGCCACTGAATTTGGGGCCCACCAGGCATCTAACATCTGCTACATTCCCTTTCGTGCACCTCATACACTCATACTGAGCAAATGGTTCCTCCTCAACTGTTTGACTGTTTCCAGCACCTGGCTGGGTGCAGCTTCTGGGAAGCAGCTGCGTCTCGAGGCTGGTGGTATCGGTGCTGTTCCCAGTCAGAGAGCCAAGTCTGCCCTGAGCAAGAAAACTGAACCCAGTTCACCATCAGTCACGTCTGGTGCAGCCCTCAGTGTAAATGGTTGTGTAAGGAATATGATTTCCACTTTCCAAGGAATATTTGTAAATGCGGGAACTTTAGGATAGTCATAGAAACATGTACTTGAAAGAGTTCATTGAGGTGACTCCACGCTATTTATTTATATGAACACATCCAAATCCTCTGTCAGTGAGCTCTGCCCCAGAGCCAGCTCCCCAGGGTATGTTCTACTCTGCTAAAACACTTGTGTTTCTGCTGGCCGATGTTGCGGCTTATTTCTTCCCCCTTGACAGCTGCTCAGATGAATCTTTTCCTTCTCATACGTTTCTTTGCATACCTCTGCAACATAAACAGACTTTAAAGCCAGAGGGACAAGTGACTCTTCGTCAGCTCTCATCTGAGGCACAGCCCAGAGGCTGCAGCGGCGCCGGTTCTGCACGGAGCGCAGCTGCCCGCCCGGCTGCCACGCCTCCTCTCCTGTCCCTGTGCACCCTGGAGCACGCTGTTGCAGAGATGCTGCACATGTTTAGTGCTCCTGCTTGAGGGCAGGAATAGCAAACTCTTTGCCACAGCTTCAGGTGTCCAGATTAAAAGTATAAGAGCAAAAGTTAGCTGCTGGGTGGGGAAACTTTTTTCCCCCCATCCTAAAAATGTCATTTATCGAAAGGTTACTTTTTGACTTGTGTCCTGTGCCATAAAATGTGATTTCTTTGAGGACAGACAAAGTGAAATGTAGTACAAAAATGTCACTGAGCTAGCCTATCTAGGACTTTTCTGACATGTTCTTCAAACTTCCTTGCTTGCTATTTCTCATTTACCACTATCTTAACACAAAGGATGTATTCAGAGACACAGCCTTCTGGTAGGAACAAGAATTAAATCAGTTTCACTAGTTTCATGCAAGTAACCAGAGGAGAGTAATTAAAAATCATTCGAAAAGCAGGAGAACTGCCACTGCTTGTGCAGCGATCTCTGCAGACATGAGGCTGATGCATTCCTGTTCACAGTATTTTTAGCTAGAGCTCTGTCAGTGCTGAACTATAGAAAGCTTCTCAGTTCTCCATCCTCCACCATTTTAACAGGAACACACTGTGCATGGAAATGCTCATGCTTTTGCTTCCTTTCTCATTTAGGGTAAGTAGCCTGGCTTTTTTTGTTTAGAAGAAATGAAATTAACTCCCGTTAGTACAGCCAAAAGACTATATCTAGCACAAAGAGAGATAGTAAATCTTCTGTATCTTGGAGTAGCCTAATACGTTAGCTTTGATTTATGGTCTCTGTCTTACTACAGCTGCTTTCTAAACTTTTTTTAGGAAATAAAATTATATGATGTGCAAATGCTTTAAAATAATCAGAACCTGAGCCTCCTTGCTAAGTACCCTGGTATGTCTGGATTGCCTTAGCTTAATGAAGTGCCCTTAACTTTTCCCTGGTATTCTGTAAGTGTCAGGGTGGGAGAACTCTGAGCACCCCCAGAGACTTTATCTTGCTGTGGAATGCAAGTCTGTTTGAAGTTCGGTGTTACATTTCCTGAGAGCATGTAGAGCCTGCCAGCTCCATAGCCCGACTGACCACTGTAGACTGGCAGGGTTTCTGCAGGCATCTAGTCTTTAGTCTCAGGTCCCTCTTTTGTTCTTCTGTTCTTGCTAAAAGGAGGCTTCAGCTTGCCATGGAACATCACAAACAGGGAGGTGAATCCTCCTGATAGCTACCTGCTTTATGAGTCAGCATGGAGTAGAGATGGTGCCCTTCCAGTGCCCTTCAAAAGGAGCAGCTGTAGTTGCCCTGCCCTTCAAGAATGCCCCTTCCCAGCTGTTCTGGGGATAAGCAGCTTTGGTTTTGCTGGGCTGCTCCTAGTATTTCTTTTCTGAGATGACACATAAGCAACGGTCTGTGTGATGTGCCCTACAGAGACCTGTTTGCCCTTCTCTGAGAGCTGAATCCTTCTAAATGGTGTGAAGAAATGGAAACAAGTTCTTCTTCCTGTTACCTGAGTTCAGCTCATTAGACTCCACAAACTTAATGCATTCAGATGTAAATTGAAAGCTGAATTTGCCCTGACATATATAGTTCAGATTTTATAGAGATCCTACCTTCCAGTTAAGTCAAATTGCAACCCATCCGAGCTTGATCTTTTGGAGCGCCTTGCTAACTATTTCTTGTCCTTCTCATGAGGACTCAGTGCAATCTCAGCTTCAGGAGTGACGCAAAGGAAGATGCACTATCATTACAGGGGAGATGATGGCTCTGTGCCATCTCTACAGTGATGTCCATCTATTACTTTTACTGTATGCAGCTTTAAACAGCACGTCTTGCTGCTCAGCTGTTTGTAGAAGGTTGTTCTCATCCCATCCTACTTTTCAGATAGTATCATAGGGGCAGGACGGCAGTTTCTGCCCAACCTGATACAGATGGCTATTCAATGAAAAACAAAAAAATGAAAGCTTCATAGTATTGCACTGTCAAATAATGGACTGTTCTTCTCTTTCTTTTCCTCATACCAGATCTGTCTTGTTGACATTTGAAAATATTTAGGGAAGTATAGTTTTCCGAGGGAACGACTGGATTTAATTGTGATTTTTTTTTTTTTTAAATGGGAATCCCCAAAGAATCCACTAGGTAGGAGGATTAAGAAATGAAACCTCTTTCCACTTTTTCATGGGGAATTCTCACCTGTTCTGTGAAGTAGACCTTAGGAGCTAAAAAAAAACCACAAAAAAAAACCAGGATAATGAAGAGACTGGATTTTAAACACTTTCTTCTGGTTTTTCATATTTGTAATTCCTCCAGAAACAGGAAGGCTAAAGCCTAGTTGCAGCAGCAGGTGTGGCATTGACCCAGCAGCAGATATCACATGGTTCATCAGAAAGCTGAGAAACCCAGTAACTTTCAAAGCCTTGGATCTCTGTGGATCTTTGCTTCCCAGCCTGAGGGATCCCTTACTTCTTACCCAGAAAATCTCCCAGAGAGAAGGCTCGTTACAAGATTTCTTCCATTCAGAGATATAGTGCATGGAAATACCTCTCAAGCTCTGCTAAAATCTAAATTACTTTGCGCTTTCAGTTCTGAGAGTTGTCCCATACTTCAGCTTCATCCCAAAATGGAGCCCTAGCCTCATGTACCTCAAGAACTGAGGAACTTTTCTCCTCAGCTGACTCCTATACTTGGCTCTCCTCAGCAAACCAGTTGTAACCTCAGGTCCTTATTCTCCTTCCCCTTTATGCTTATATGGTCAGAAATCATCCCACTGACATCAGTGACATCACAGCAGTATTAAAAACAGTCAGATGTTTAAAGCAAATGTGCATGTTTGAAGTAGCATATACTAAGCTTGAAAGAAGTGTCTGAGTACAGTAGACCACTTGGTGCAGGTAGTGACAGTAGCTTTTATTTTCACAATGGGATATGAAGACACATGTTGCAGGGGTAAAGTCCTTTAATAGAAGAATGCTTTAGCACCATATACTGAGTGTACTGCTTTTTTTTTCTCTGAAATCTTGTGAATTATAGATTAAAATAATTTAATTTCATGAAACACACAAGTTGACCATATACTTGTCAGGAGTATTGCGCATTTGCTTTGGTGTGGAATGAGTAGTAATTGTTTTCCAAACTCTTTTGTACCAAAAAAGAGGATGTGGTTCCTTTCCAAATATACAAAGTTATGTTAAACAGGAGAATTATTTGCAATTGCACAGGATAAAGAAGAATGTATTAATCTTATTACTAGAGATTTTATAGATATAAATATGGAATTGATTTACCAAGTCAGTACTGAACTCCCTGGGCTCATGTCCTAAGGGGTTGGAGGCTGGCCTGATCCTGCCACACATGCTCACTCTTGAATCATGCTCCTGCCTCCTTCATTGCTGTGGCTGGCTTTGCTCCCTTGGAGTTTTATTTTCCTGAGGCTGCTCATGTGACTCTCATGTGGAGCTGCTATCCTTGATTTGTATTTAAGCTGTACCTGTGCTGGGCAATCTGCTGCCAAGCGTAGCTGTTCAGAAGCATCCCTTCCAATAGGTTGGGCCAAGGCTGAATTGAGACCCTCATATCAATAAATAAGCAGCCAAAGAAGGGGTTTGTAGTGAAGCCTTGTCTGTAGTGTGGTTATTTTGTTTATTACAGGAAAATTCTGAGATTTAGATTAAAACTCCGCCTGCTCTGACCCTCTCAGCTTCTCTGAAGACACTGGGTGAGCTAGAGCTTAACAGAGGTCTTGAAATACCCTTAACACAATCAAATAAGAAAGGCAAAATAAATTATCTCCAAGTAATAGAAAAATGTCCAGACCATGATTAATACCACCTTTGAAAGATGAGACATGGTGCCATTGGACATGGTAGATTATACTCAGTTTCTGGTTTATGGATAGCAGCTGTACTTCAGGTTACAAGCTATGGGCTTGTGGTAAGGAGCCACAA